AAAAAAACGAGGGTAACCTAACTAAAATCAAAAGTGAAGCCGTTTGAATTTTCATTCAAAGACAAAAAACGGAAACCACAAAAAACCAGAACCAATGGAACAGATCAATGCATTTTTCGTTGTATAAGAAATTAGAAAGAAAATAGATCAATAGAACCAGATCTTAAAAAGAGTGAGCATTATCGAGCCAATAACCTTACCCGGCGAGATTGTGAAACAGGACTCTCTTAAGAACTAGATCTGTCTAAACCTGTTGTTCAGTGCCGCAGAAAGACTGTGACGAAGAAACCAGATCTTGAAGAAGACCCAAAGAGAAAGAACTAATAACTTCATCCGGCGATCATCAGTGAAACAGGGATATGTCAAAAACTGGAATTGTGAACAAGGCCTTGCCGTTCTGTGCCGTAGGATAATATCTCTGCCGGTGAATCCTTCTCAGTTCAGTGCCGTTGGGAAAAGAACAACGAAACACTCTTAACGGTCATAATCCCAATTTAGGGTAGGGAAGATATCCCTGTTTTGAAGGTAAATCGATTCACTCTTTCTTATGATATCAGGTAGCAGGTTTAAGATATAACGGTGGTTCAAAGGTTCACTTTGATTTTTCATTTTACAGGGAAGTAAAATTCAATAAAACCGCTCAAAAAAAAATCAATAAAACCGCTGGTTTCTAGTTTCTATTTCGGCACCGATTGGACTTGTTATATTTAGGGCTGTTCACGGGTCGGGTTGGGTCAGTTTACAGTGGTTTTTCCAACCGACCTGACCTGATCGGGTTACTTGACATAGAAATCGAAACCGACCCAGTGTTAAGCAAAACCGATCTGGTCGGTTTGAGTCGGGTTGGGTCGGTTTCGGTCGGTTTCGGTTCTAAGTTCATCCCTGTGATAAAATCTTGCTAATTTTAAAAACAGTCATAAATTAAACATCATTTCAGCCATCTTCTATAATAAAATTTAAATGAAAAGTTAATCACAAAAGTTGTTTATTAATCACTATTCACTAATCCAAAGTTTCTTGCAACCATTCAAAAACTAGGTGGCCTAATGGGCTTTGGAACTTCATGTTTGAATTAGGAACTAAGTCGGTTCAGTTCGGGTCGGTTTCAGTTTTCTTGTGTAAAAACCGAAAACCGACCCGAATCATCAGTTTAGGAATTTGCACAACCCGAAACCGACCCGTACTGATAAAAACCCGGCCAACTCGGGTTGGATCGGTCCGGGTTGGTCAGTTTGGTCAGGTTGGGCCTTCTTATGAACAACCCTAGTTGTATCTTCCAGCTTTGGGCTGGGCTTGGATTTAACAATAAAATAAGAACTTGACCCAATTTACTTGTGCTTAGGCCTTTATTGAGCTTCAGCTTAAACCTAGCCCAGATTAACTAAACCCAAGCACACTTTACCCTTAATCATTTATTCATCCACGCATATATGTATGTACTTTGTGTAKAAGAAATATTGTTAGTTTATATTTAATTATTTTTGTGGTAAGGCACAAAATATTTGTTTAAGTCCCAAAATCTTCTTCGGGCAGAGATTCAAGCTCATCAACTATATGAGTAAACTACGTGATTTTATTTCTATCATTTTTAAAATCATATCATTGTTAAATTATTGGTGCTTAAACTATTTTTTGGGTAAATTACAAAGACCCCCCTATACTATGGGGTCTATGACAAAGACCTCCCTGTACTTTATTTTGCGAGAAAGACCCCCCTTTCATTAGCATTCCGTTGAAATCCGCTATTGTAATATTTTTTAATCCCCATACTACCCTTGTAATGACAATTGGGAGAAAAGCACTGTTCATCTTCCCCAACCTCATAATACACGAATTGCAGTAATCCCTTCTATTTCAGATTCCTTTACATTTCTCTCTCCCTGATTTCTCTTCTTTCCCTTTCCCTTTCTCTTCTCTTTCATTAACGCTCAGGCTGCTTTCAACAACAACAGCCCAATTCCAGGACCGTGAGCAAGAAGGCGATTCTCCTACGGCTGAAGTTGAGGTAGTGACCTGCTGTCATCAACCATTTCTCAACAGCAAAGCCGATGCCTGGGGCTGGGGTAGTAAGGAAATAGCAGTGGGGATGTATGGATTTGCAGTGATCAAAAGCGTTGTGGTCCACAGCGACGACCACCAAATGGGTTAATAGGCATTCTGTCCCTTCACCAAGCCATCCAATCATGGCTCCATGACTCCATGACCACGTAGAAACTGCAACTTTGAGTGGAGAGCATGGATCAAAGTCGAGTTGAGCTTCGTTGTTAGAAACCATACAAGAAGAGAGAAACAATATCATGAGACAAAAATTATCACACACACTCAAGTCTCAACATGCTATTACATAACCGTATTCATGAATCTGAAATCCAAAATAGAGAAAATACAAATAATGAAGTAGTGAACAATAATCACTTATTTACTATTACATTAATAAGCAAATCTCACAAACAAGCAACGATCCCAGCGGTCCATAAAATAATCAGAAGATGTCTAATATAGCTTCAGGAGGGCCAGAAGAGAAAAGAACAAAGACAAGCAGAGGACCGCATTGGATATAGGCAGAGCAAAGCTATGGACCACAACGCTTTTGATCGCTGCAAATCCATACATCCCCACTGCTATTTCCTTACTACCCCAGCCCCAGGCATCATTTTGCTATTAAGAAATGGTTGGTGATAGCAAATCACTACCTCCACTTTAGTTGTAGGAGAATCGCCTTCTTGCTCACGGTCCTGGAATTGGGTTGTTATTGTTGAATGTAGCCTGAGCGTTAATGAAAGATAAGAGAAAGGGGAGGAGAGAAAGGGGAAGGGAAAGAAGAGAAATCGAGGGAGAGAAGGAGAGAGAGAAATGTGAAGGAATCTGAGATAGAAGGGATTAACGTACTATTCGTGTATCATGAGGTTGGGAAAGATGAACAGTGCTTTTCTCCCAATTGTCCTAATTACAAGGATAGTATGGGGATCAAAAAATATTGCAATAGCGGATTTCAACGGAACGCTAATGGAAGGGGGTCTCTGTCTCACTGTCATAGTATAAGGGGTCTTTATCGCAAAATAAAGTACAGGGAGGTCTTTGTCATAGACCCCATAATACAGGGGGGCCTTTGTAATTTATCCTTATTTTTTATTACTTCTACTAAGGTCTTTATCTGGTTGTAGTAGAGGCTTAGGATTGAACCTTGCCTTCATTGGGGTTTTGGTAAGGCATTGGAGTTTGTGGGAAGGCTCTCCCTCTCCTTCCCAATAATTGTTTAATGTGCTTGTTGCGCATGCATACGGTATATACATTATGTATTTGTGTTATGTGTTTGAATAAATTTTCCTATATTTTCTATTTTCAATTAGACTATAAAACCTAAATTGCCGATGATTGGGGTGTCAAGATGGTCACTTGACACCCCTCCAAATAGGTGGGGGATCAAACCTACAAAACCACATCTTCCTTTGGCCAAGAAAGAGGTTATAGAACCTAAAGGAAAAGTAAAATTGCAAAACACGAGTTCCAAGAAGGCTTTCAAACCCCCACCAACAATGTTTTTGAAATTGAACCGAACAACGAACCAATCAGGGGTCTGGTTCCCAAGTCAAATGGTTCGACCATTCTAACTGAATGGATGACCTGTTTTGACAAAAATAAAAAAAATTAAAAAATAAATAAATAACAAACAAACCGTTGGACGGTTCGACCGCTCGGGTCAACGGTTTGCTGACCAAATCAACGTGTTTTAGGGAAATAACGGTTCTGGGGTAAAACAGAACCGGTCACGACTAGTTTCCAGTTTTTCCAGTTTGATTGTCTGGTTCAGTCCAGCTTTGAAAACCATGCCCACCAATTTCCCTAGGTCATACCTAGCTCATAGAAGCCCAAGCCCAATACCAAAAATTAAAAATAAAAGACTATAAAACCTAAATGAAAAGTTAAAATGCAAATCATAAGTTCCAGGAAGGCTTTCAAGCCCAACCAATTTGCCTATATCAGACCAAGCTCACATAAGCTGAAAGTGGTGATAGGATTAGCTTGAACTAAGCTTGGGTTGGTAAACTTGGGCATTGACTYTGATTGTACTAGGCCTAGATTTAAGGTTTAGGTCATGGGGTCAGGCCTAAACTTGGTTCAACCCTCCCAAGTTGCATCCCTAGTTAGCACACTTATATCTTCCTTTTGTTTTTGTTAAATCCCCACTAACACACATACATGCACTTTTACATCATTCACACATAATCCATGGCCATGTACATGCCACATGCCTTGTCAAACATTTCTTAGAACCTTAAATGACCTTTCTTTTTGTTTTATATGATGATTTTATCATTTTATTAGACTAGTAAGTTGGCACGTGCTTTGCACGTGACCACATGCTTTTTAAAACATTTCTTAGAAACCTTAAATGACCTTTCTTTTTGTTTTATATGATGATTTTATCATTTTATTAGACTAGTAAGTTGGCACGTGCTTTGCACGTGACAATTTTAGATGATGATAATGATAGTAATAATGTATCCAAATTTTTTCATAAATTTTATACATTTTTTATTTTTGTTTTATATTATTAATCAAATTTGATTACAAAATCCAAATCTGGTTACATAAACATCTCATCTGTACATGTTATAATCGGATCGAGTTGTGAAGTTTCAACTCTCATTGATAGGCCTACCTACTTGGCTAGACTCTTGTTTTTGTAATGTTTTATCTTTTTCGTGTATCTTTTTTTTTTATTAATTTATCCAAAAATGTAAGATTTAAATAGAGGGAATTAAGTGAGGTGAAAAGTAATAGATCAATTTACAATTTAAACCACACAATTAAATAGGACTAAATTACAAAATTAGTATTTTAACCAAAAGAAAGTTCAACAATCTTATTCATATTTTTAATAATAGTTTAAATATAGAATTATAGATGTGTTCATTTTTTTCTATAATTGTTTTTTTGTATTTTTTGCATGTAAAAAGTAATTTTGATATGCCACACTTACATTTTGTTTAGTATGATAAATATATGATATTATACATGTGATTAGATATTTTTTTTTTGCAAATTTATTGTATTTATTGTTTTTTTATTTTTTTATTTTATTAATTTTTATTATTTATTTATGAAATTAAAGGTTATCACATTTTACCAAAAGTTGAACTATTGATCTTTGCCAAACATTAAAATAATTTCATTTTTGGTCAATTCTAAATTATGTATTTCATTTTCATTATCAACAAAAATAATTATTGTTTATTACACTTATTTTTTAATTTGATTAATAAAAACATCATAAATGTGTCTAATTTTTTCTAACATGTTTGTAATTTTCTATATTCATTTCTACTTTAAAAATTTTATTATCTAACTATGACTTCATAGGTTTATCAATTTGATTCCAATGACTGAATTTCTTAGCCACCACTTAGATAAAAAATGGTTTTGATTTTGAGTTTAAAATATATGGGTTTGTATTTTTAAAATATTGATATATATATATATATATAATTAGTAGTACTTTTTAGTAAAAATAACTTATATAGAATTTAATAAGAGAAAATGAGAGTCGATGCCTTAAGTATAAGACTTAATGAG